GACATTCCATAGTCCGGCAGCCATTACCTCCTGACTACCTTGTGACTCTGTACTTTTACACTTCCTGGTTTCTGGAATCTGAACTGACTGGTCTCAGTAACTTCTGGCCTGTTCTCAAAAGGAGAAATCTTAGGCCTTAATTTTAGGGTGAAAGCATTTTGGTCTTATTTCTAAGATGGCTCATTTTGGTCTCACAGGACCAGTACGCATAGGTACTGCTAGAATTCCTTCCCGGGGAGATATAAACAATGTCTACCCCGTCCTTATAGGGTCCTAACAACAAAGTACAGTTCCAGCAGTGTTCAGCCTGGGGAACCAACGAGTTTGTTAGAGAACCAATGACTTACTTAGGGAGCATGAGCGAGGGGCTCCGGGAGCATCGGGACCCACAGCAGTTGGGCTGAAGTGTTCACCCAGCATGAATGGTCGGTTTCCCTTTATTGAATAGAATTGTTCTCTTCTGTTCTCTTTCCAACCTAAAAGCACTAGGGGACAAGTACCCCTCACCCCACTCCCACCCATATGCAATCAAGAACAATCACATATAAATGACTGGGTGGGGTGCCTGGAGCCCACAACTACATTTCCATACACGTACCTCACAGTCCCACCCCTTCTAGCAATCCTGACACTGCTTTGGCTTGGGCAGACTGAGGTCCAATGACCAAGCCCAATCTTATGGGACTACAGGAGCCTTTGGCCCTAAAGCTCTGCTCACACTCCTGTGGTCTGTTCTCAGAGGAAAGAGCATGACCATCTGTGGAGATGGGCACAGCGGCACATGCCCATAATCCCAGCACTTGGAGAGTAGGTGCAGAAGATCCATCTAAACAGTGCAGGTCAGCCAGGGCTAGAGCTGAAAGGACACTAGCCCACCTGAGCATGTGGCTCTGGCGGGCCTTACCCTTCTCTCATTCCCTCTGCTTTGCCAAAAACCATCAGATTCATTCCTAAAGGTAGCTAGCAAGGACTGTTCCCTTATCTGGCCAATCCCTCCTTCCAAGGCGGACTACCAGGGTCCAGCTATCAAAGAACTGAAAGCCCAGCAATCAGAAGCCCCCTTTGGTTCACCTAACCAAATTAGCCGATTAAAATTACACACTTCGTCCTAACACCGGGCTTCCCCCTTTACCTCTGTCTCCTCTCTATCCAGAGGCCGTCCTTTGTCGTGGTCATGCCTCCCTCTCCCACTAGACAAATACCCTGCCCTCTTTCCCTGTTCCTTTCCCCTTCTCCCGTCTCTATCTCCTCTGCTACTGCATCATATCCATCTAACACAGACCTCCCTCCCCTCTCTTCTCCTCTTAAAATTGCACCTGGAAAGTCATTTGCTGCTGTTTTTCTGCCTGAGTCAGAAAGCAGCCGCTTTAACTTTTCTTCCCTGCTTAATAAAGAATCTCTCGGTGAAAACGGGTGTTTGGTTGTGGTTTGTGCCTAGTCCAGGGTCTGAGAGGGAGCCCCTGTTCTGCAGGAGGCCCCCTCTAGAGTTCTCATTAGGAATATGGACGTTCATTCTACTGTTCTGGTTATTTTCGCTATTTGACTGGCGTCTCCGCAATTTGCTCCTCACCAGCCTGCTCTGCATTGTTTCTATTCGGCACTGTTTGTTTTGTAGTTACACTTCTAAGTGAGGATAGATGTTTTTCCTCAGGGAGCCATGACATGTTCCCAGGATAGTGTACAAGGTTCATTATTTCAGACTTCAGTGTTCCCCATTGATTCACTTCCTGTTTCCCAATAACCCTTCCAACTTTTCAAATTTTAGAAAATCAGAAGAAAAAGAAAGCAAGCCTCAAGTTCGTGTGAAAATACAAAGAAATTTTAGGAATATGCAATATCACTGTCTCTTAGATACGTGTATACCCACCCACGTAGAAAATAAATCTCCTGACTATGTGTGACAGATTCAGACTTTTAAAGTCTGTGACATTCCACATGACTCAAGGATGTTCGGAAATGTGTATTCTGATGGTGACTTTCGCATAATTGGAATATGGACATGGCCATGACAACGTCTGGGGGGGGGCGGGGGGGGGAGAAAGAGAACCAGAATGTACACCATTATAACTATTGGCAAAACATAACCTCCCACGGGTGGTGGGCATGCGCAACACTACTTTGTAACTTTGCAAGCAGTAGTGGCAACGCGCAATACCGACTTCCGCCCGGGCGGGGCGGGGGGGTGGGGGGGAGGCTGAGGTGTGACCAGAAGTGTCCTAGAGTATCCATTTCCGCTTAGATCTTCACGTGGTTAGTTGTTGTTATCGTTACCAGGACGCCGTGGGAGTTTGGATTCGGAACCTGGGGAATCCTGAGGGTCCGTGGGCGGAAGTCGCGGCCCCGGAGTGCCGTGTGCAGAGTTCTCTGCCGTGCAGTGTGAGGTGAGTGGCGGCGGCGCAGGAAGGATGCTGTGCTGCTGAGCGCTGGTTTGTGCTGAGTGGCGGCTGAGAAGGCTGCTGGGGCATGCCAGGGTTGAGCTGGGCTGGGCGTCCTGTAGGAGTCTGGAGAGCAGGGTTGCTGAGGGCGGCGATGGAGCCTGCTGTTGTGAGCTTGGGGCTGGTGTGTGTCTGAGGGGCTGGTGTGTGTCCGCGCCGCTTTCTGTACTGGGAGTGTTTGCATAGCCCGTGACTGGCTTGAGTCCGTCTGTGAGAGGAGAAAAATTAGATGAAAATAGAAAATGAGTTTATAGACTGTTTTGACTTACACCCAGGCTGCAGTATTCTCGGTCTGCCCACGCCTAAGGAGTGTCAAGAATTGATAAAAGGGATGGTACAGTCTGTGCGAGCTCGTAGCAGTGGGCTCCAGGGAGCAGAGCTAGGAGAGGAGCCTTTGTGCAGGTGCTGGGGACCATGGCTTCGGCCCATTTCCCTAACCGGCTCCCCAGGGAGCTGGTGCTGAGAAAGAAAAAAATTAAAACTTACAATTCCTGTGGCCAGTTTTGGGTATTGGGGTCCTTGAAAGTGTGTAGGTTGCTCCGTGCTGGCCTGGCTTTAGGACTCTATGGACGTGGCAAGGCTCTGTGATCAGCTGTTGAGCAGCATGGTGCTGTAAACAGGTGTTAGGGTAAGTGCTTGGCCTCCTCCTGCCTCAACAGATTGACCGTGGTCGGGAAGCCCTATTGAAAAGACTAGTTAGTCATGGTGGAAAGCAGAGAGAGAAGGGGAAGGTTCTTCAATTAGCCACATCAGGCAGAAGAGGTAAAGAACCCAGTGACCGCAGTCTGTTGTAGTGACACAGAGGTTTGGGATTGCTGGTCAGGATGTGGTGGCTCCTGACTACCCTTTGGAGGCCCCTGACTACCCTTTGGAGGTTCCTGACTACCCTTTGGAGGCTGCTGACTACCCTTTGGAGGCCGCTGACTACCCTTTGGAGGCCCCTGACTACCCTTTGGAGGTCCCTGACTACCCTTTGGAGGTCCCTGACTACCCTTTGGAGGCCCCTGACTACCCTTTGGAGGTAGTACCGGCGGGATCCCTGAAAGTGGAGGCTGCTTAGTGTAGCAGGAGGGCTACATAGGCAACATCCTTTTTTGTTTTGACCTGTGTACATAGATGATTTAAGAAGTCCTGGGCGTGGTGTGTGTGGTCCTGCCTGTCTTTTTTTGAGCCCTGTCCTGCAGAATATTCCTTACATTGTTAATCTGTTCCTTGTCCTCGGCCCAAAGAGACCAATCTGTTTCCTCCTTGGTGTTTATTTCTGCTGTACAGTGAAGCCTCAAACGCATGCCTAATTGTCCTCCTCTGGGAGCAGTCTGTTCTCGGAGGCTTTACAGTTTCTGGAATTGAAGATGACTGCATCTTTGTGCCTTGAAGAGGGATGTATTAATCCTACCAGGAGATAGTAAGACCACTTCCAAAATTTTGAGTCAAATTTGAAGCAAGCTTGATTTTTATTGGGGTGTACCCAAGAACTGACCAGCGACTGCCTCCTAAGTAGGGTTAAAGAGAGTAGCCCTGAGTCCTTTTCTTAGGGCCCTTTTAAGGAGTAAAATTGTGAGTAGTTGCAAAGCAGATTTATTTTATTATTTATTTATTTTTGTTTTTTCAAGACAGGGTTTTTCCATGTAGATTTTTGGTTTTTCAAGACAGGGTTTTTCCATGTAGCTGTTTCCTGGCTATCCTGGAACTCGTTCTGTAAGCCAGGCTGGCCTCAAATTCACAGAAATGAATTCACAGAAATCTGCCTTCTGAGTGCTGGGGTTAAAGGCATGCCACCACCACGGCCAGGCTTGCAAAGCAGGGTTACCTAAGACAATGGAACAGTAAGGAATTACAGAATAATCTCAAAAAAACATTAGCCATCACCGTGTGGTCAGCCTGTGATCAGGGAGGGTTATGGGGCTGAGTGTTCCCAAAAACAAGTCAAAGTCATGAGTTGGGGCAGGTCAGGTTCCGGGAAACAGAAACTTGGGTTTAACAATACAGCATAATGGTTCTTGCCTTCAAAATGGAGTCAGGCGGGTTCCTGGGATAGTGTAGGTTGGATAGAGACAGCCAAGCAGAAGTCTAAGCCAGAGTGAAGATCTACTTAAGTAGACCAGGCCAGCCTCAAACTTGGCAGTGATCCTCCTGCTCCTGCTTCCTGAGTTCTGGGTTACAGGAGTGTGTCGTATAAATTGAAGGTCCCAGAAAATTAAAGTTTCTTTTACCTGATTGACTAAATAATCAGGAGGACACAGTTGTATGAAATCTTATCCCTCCCACTGCGACTTTTTTTTTCTTTTTTATTTTATTTTATTTTATTTTATTTTATTTTATTTTATTTTATTTTATTTTATTTTACAATACCATTCAGTTCTACATATCAGCCACGGGTTCCCCT